CGCGGCTAGGAAAAAAATCAAGCTGGTTACTCGTTGTTTCCCTTCAGCCCATCGGCTCCCAACAAGCGTCAGCTGATGGAGGGAGTCTGTACTTCTGCTGTGCCGTGCAGTGCTCGCTCATAGAAGAGTTGGATTGGGTTATTTCTGGGGGATACGAGTTTCAGTATAGTACAATAAGGAAAGAGAAGCTGACGACAGGAAGTCACATGGGCCCCTTCGTTCCTTCCCACTTGCACTCGGTTTCCAAATATGTACACCCGAGACTTTATGCACTGGCGTTTGCTGCTGCTGGTTGTCAGTTACTACTGTTCCTCCTGGCTATTGGAAGGAGGAAGGAATCTCACATCACGGAAGAACATCGCGGAAGCTGTGACACCGCTGGGAAGTTACTCGAGTAGTGGTGTTAGAGTAGTGATGTTAGTGGTGTTAGTGGTGTTAGTGGTGTTTAGTGTTGTGAGTTTAGTACAGGTGATACAGTTAATACAGGGGATACAGGGGATACGTCACCGTCAAACCTTCACATCGTAGTACACATCTCACACATCCCACATATCCCACATATCCCACAGTAATCTCCACATCTCCACCAATGCGCCAACCCAACTCATGTACCGTACTAAGTATGTCTTATGTATACATATGCATATCAGAATTCAATACGCTATCCTCTCTATAATGCATGCATGCATGGGATGTACAATCGACATATAGTGGGGGGTTTCTATAGGTATCCTACATAATTCTACAGGTAGAATCTTTCAACTCAGCCACCCACTTTCACTTAAATGCTACTTACTAACAAACCTGCGGTACTTCGCCCCTTGTTGGCTCCTTATTCCTCCTTGTGGGCTTTCTGTCTCTTTCTCTCTCCTCTTGTCCCCTCCGTCCACCTAAGGGCGCCAAACAAGGCCCGCCAACCAGGGAGGAAGTCCGTTCGGCACACCCTAGTACTTACAGACAAGTCGCTGATCTCAATCCCTGGTCAAAAAAGCGAAGAAAGTGAGGAAAGAAAGTGCCGTCGTCCGGTCAGTGCTTCCTCCTCCCCCTACCCCCTAACCCCCCCCCCCACCTTCTTCGCCCCTCAGAATAGCCCCCCGGTACCAGGGATCTCACCAGAGCCGGAAAAGGTAATCTGGGGGCGGAGGAACGATACTAAGAGGAGTGAGTGATCCCGGTCGTCACATCCGCCCCGTACGCGCTACCAACTGTGCTCACCGCGTTCCCACCCCCAACGCCTGTCTGCCTGTCTCCTGCCTCCTGCCGGCCTCCACTCCCATCCGCTCCTCCCTCCACCGCAATGTCCGCCCCAGCATCACTAGACCCGTTGATTATTTCCCATTGGCGATGGGCACTGTCACACATCCGTGTTGGCACCGCCTGCACCGCCCCGGGGGTAACCAGTCGGCAGGGTCGCCCCGTTCTCAGTCACAAAATGTGGCCCTTGTTTCCCACGATAAGATGACATCCATTTCCACCTCAACCCTTTTTTTTTTTTTGTGACGATGCATTGTGATTGATCTTCATACTCTCCAACATTCTCCAGCTTTCTCAAACCCCGCCATCCACCTTTCATCTTACTTACGTCGGCACACTACCATCCATGACTGAGACAATCAGGATCTGCTGAGGATCTCCTGCATGGTTTGAGTGCTCGTTTGGGAAGACAAGCCTTTATAATCGCCCCATATAGCAAACACCATCCCTATATGAAAGTCGCCCTCCGCACAGATACAAAGTCAACTAGCCATTACCTCTCACCACTCTTCGCCTAGTTCACCTTCACACCTTACCTTCATATCTCAGGAGCTCTCGGGATTGATCCCCAACACCGTCATCGTATTTCTCACATGAAGACAATGATGGACTCCAGGCGGCCAGGCACGATAGGGGCCTCCAAACCCTTCCCCACGAAACAGCTGTTCATTCTCAGTGAGTATTCAGAAATGGCACCTCACTAGCCCAACAAGGCTTCTTGCCCAGGCGCGCTTGCAATTAGATCGCTAACATGCTCCGCAGGTCTTTGTCGGATATGTGAACCGATAGCCTTCATGTCGATTTTCCCCTACATCTACGCCATGATCGAGTCCTTCGGGTTTGACCATAAAGACCCAACCATTTCCATGTACGCCGGGGTGGTAACAGCCGCCTTTACCTTTGCGGAATTCTCGTCGGGCATGCTTTGGGGGAAGCTCAGTGACCGGATTGGTCGGAAGCCAGTACTTTTGACGGGTCTTGCGGGGACAGGATTAAGCATGCTGGTCTTCGGATTCGCCCCAAACATCTACGTAGCGATTATTGCAAGGGCATTAGGTGGTCTACTGAACGGGTAAGATACTCGTAACCCTGTCCTTCCTCCAAATTCTGACATATGTGTGGCAGAAATATAGGAGTCTTGCAAACTACGGTGGCGGAATTGGCTACCGTGAAGGAACATCAGCGTCAGTACCGGTTCGCTAATATGTCATTCTCATCATGCTAACTTGTCGACAGCCCGTGCATACTCTATCATGCCATTTGTTTGGAGTCTAGGGTAAGTTTTGAGAATCCATACTTCTTGGATGCGCTAATTCTCAAACATAGATCGATCTTGGGTCCTGTTCTTGGTGGTGCGCTCGCAGAGCCATGCAAACACTATCCTAGCCTATTCCCACCAGGAACCATCTTTGAGCGATTCCCATTCCTCTTGCCCAACCTTTTCTGCACGTCCGTGGTTGTACTCGGTGTCTTGGTTGGATTCTTCTTTCTCGAAGAGACGCATCACGAGAAGAAGTACGAGAGAGACGTCGGCTTGGAGATGGGCAAACGCATTTTCGGAGCCTTTCAACGAGCAGAGGACGTGAACGACCTTAAATCTGAGAAGAGCATGGCGTTAATGTCGGAGACCGAGTTATTAATTGACGACTTCGAGCAATTGCCACGGTATCAAAGCACCGAAGCATCACCGCAGATCCCGGTCACAACTCAGCCAGAGATTTTAGACATCATAAGCCTCGATAGCAACAACTCAGAGCCTGAAAAAGAAGCCCCGTTGAACCCGTTCACGAAACAGATCATCCTCAACATTGCTGGCTACGGGATTCTAGCTTAGTAAGTCTAAAATACTGCCCCCGTGGACGTTCAAGGCTGACCATGACAGCCACACTATCACCTTTGACCAACTGCTCCCCGTCCTCCTTGCCCACCCCGAAACAAAAGATGCTGTGATTAGTCTACCCTTCAAATTCCTTGGCGGCTGGGCAATGAACACCAAAGATATCGGCTTCATCCTCATGGCACAAGGCGCCTACTCCATGTTCGCTACCCTCGTCCTCTTCCCCTACGCCGTCAAACGACTAGGACCTCTCAACCTCTTCAAACTCGTCGCCTTCTCTTACCCCATCCTCTACATCGTCACGCCCTACGTCATTCTCCTCCCCGAACCCTACCGTCTCATCGGCCTGATCCCGCTGCTGGCTTGGAAAACCACATTCGCCAACTTCGCCTTCCCAGCCACGAACATCCTTCTCGCCAACACAGCGCCCTCTCTTCTCCTCCTCGGCACCATCAACGGCGCTGCCTCATCGACAGCAAGTTTCTGCCGCGGTCTCGGACCTATCATTTCCGGTTCGCTCTTCGCCCTTGGCTTTCAAGTCGGGTACTTCGGCATCGTATGGTGGTTCACAGCGCTGATTTCCATTGCGGGTGCGGCGATCGCCATGAGGATGTCAGAGAAGGGTTTCCGCAAAGACGTGGACGAGGTGGTGGCCGACGAAGAAGGCGCCGTCGTATGATCGACCCGCCCTATGATATCCCACGGAGCCCACCAAGCCTGGCAGAGCTACAATGCCTCCGGCTTGAATGGCGCTTTTATGACGAATTATGAGATTCTCTTATCTGGTTGTCGTCGGAATTTTTTTTAGAGGCGATAGATGCAGCTGCATTTTTGCGCGCGCGCGGTCGCGAGATTGCGCGATTTGTTTTATACTTTTTTGTGCGCTTTCTAGATACCATTGATATGTTTTTGGGGGGCGCGATGATGATGACCCGAGAGCGCAGAGCTTTGTTTCTCATTTTTGGGATGGGTGGGGGTGGGGGATATTATGACAGGTTATCAAGAGGTGGGGATGGGGAATATGCGGTACCCAGGCATTGGATGAGACAGACCCGCCAGATTGGGATCGGGTCAGAAGGGAGAATGGGAATTTTATGAATTATGCTATGGCTATGGCTGTCTGCAGGGAGTTTGTGCTGGCGTTGGGGGCGGGGAATGAATGGGATGCGAGATTGGGATCCTGTCGTTCATAATAGATATGTTAGATGGATTTTTATAATGGAATAGTCGCAAGACTGGGTTCTTTTTACAAAGATTGTGCTGTGTCTTTATGCCTGTGCTTGTACTTGTAGGCGTGTCTGTGTGTGAGTGGTGGGAGTTGTGTGGTTGTTATAATTCCTTATTCGTTGCTGAATTTTTTTATTGGTTGGGAATTTGATAATTATTTGAATTATGCGTGGTGATAAGTGATACCAGGTGAGAGATAATATCACTACCCCTTTTCTTTCGTGCGTCGAACAGCGGCGAGGATAACATTTTTCTGGGGGTCAGGGATGTATTAGTTAGATTCTTTGGTTCTTTATGGCTTATATATTCTTATAAGAGGGTTTGTGGGATGGTTCGTGTGAATGGTGATGGTTTAATTCGGGGGTCGCTTCTTGGGAAATATTATGATGGGATTATTTTGTTTATCGTTTTATGGTTTGGTGATATGAAGTGTTTTTGTCCTTGTAGTTGGTCGTCATCCACAACTGAAGAATTATATTCCTATAAAGATTGCCTCATTGATAGGAAAGAACATTATAATGAAGGCAGTGGGTCCAATCAGGTTCAACTATTTAGGACACCTCCCATTTAAGCATTGGGGTGTGGCGGTTGTGACAGAAAGTGCGGTCTGAGGCGCACCCCAGCACTGGTATTTCGGATAGTTGCATTTGTCCAGGAGTACTTCAACTATCTTTACACCAGACCTAGGTTATACACTCGAGGTAAAGCTAAGCAAACCACACCGTCATTAAAAATCAATTGATCCATCTACGTAAAATGGTCATAGTGCGAAAATGGGGCGAGGATCACATCAACAAATCCCTGAAGCAAATTAATTTAGACACCTGGCTCATTGATGGTCTTGTCCTCCATCGATCACCCTGTCTCTCCGATGCGGCCACATGGAATGACGATGTCGATAATTCAAGTTACACACTCACAGAAGCAACTACCTCTACGCATTCTGCCACAACACCACTCGACAGCCCCTATATCAAACTAGTTCATGAAGCTGGCGACGCCTCCGCCGTCTGGTCCATAGGAAGTAATGCAATGTGCAAAGTCAGGTATATTGAGAAGGGGGTCACACCTGAATCAGTCACCCTTAACTTTGTCCGAGATCAGCAGCCTACCTTCGAGACGCCAATGGTTATACACCATGCCTTTGGCAGCGACCGATCATACCTCTTTCTCAAGCGAGTTCCCGGCCAGACGCTGGATGCTGCTTGGCCACGCCTAAACGAGTACTGGCGACGCCACTACGTGAAAGCCGTGGCAGACATCTGCAGGGAGATGGCTGAGTGGAAAGGACTCGAGTTTGGCGGCGTGGACGGGCAAAACGTACCTGAAGCGCACCTCCTGAAGTTCTCCGGCCCCGAGGATTTCAGCTCGGTGAATCTACAGGCAGCATGTGAGGCGATGGGTATGGGCTGCACGGATTTTGTCTTTACTCATGCTGACCTTGGACCTACCAATATCATCGTGGAGGAGGAGCCGAAGTCGGGAAAGGTTGGCACCATCGACTTTGAGATAGCTGGTTACTTCCCTCGGAGCTGGATTAGGACCAAGTTTCGAATTTCTGGTGGGATGGACTTGTCCCCTTTGGCTGATGATAACCCGCACTGGTGGAGATCAGAAGTTCAAAGGGCACTTGGGGCTGATGGCTTTGACGACGTCGTAGAGGCCTGGGAGGAGTGGCAGCGGGGGTAGGACCAGTCTAATGGGAGGTTATTTTGGGAGGTTGTTTCTAATCTCATGGCTGTGACTTCTGTTACCCGATTTTTTTCGGGCCTATGTTCTCTTCATCGAGGAGTGCTTGTTTGTTTATGTTTTATTCTCACCTTTCTCCAGTTCTGTCTGCCTTTACTTTCTTGCGTTGGGATCACTCTTTTGCCTTCCGATCTCGCCTACTATTCCGATGTCTCTTGCTCTTACACTTTCTTTTTCTGATTATCCGATCTCTCCTGCTTGTCCTCTCTTCTTATCTCCGATCTACCCTCTTACTCTTTCTTCTTCCGCACTCTGCTCAACATCTTCCTCGACAAACTCCAACTCTACTCCCTCAGCAAACTCCAACTCTACTCCTTCAAACTCCTCCACCACCTCTTCCACCACCTC